CCTCATTGAGAAAGTACCATTTAAGCAGTTTGGAGAAAATGCAGTCAGTCATGCAGACTTTTGGAGAAATTGGGTAGCAGGGAGAGGAAATAGCCAACAGCCATAAACTAGGAATTGTTGGTCATAAGAGGATAGGAAGTTGGCCACTAGATCAATGGAATTTGGAGGGATTCAGGCCCTTTTGGTGTGTAGCCCAAAGCTTTTAACACCGAGCTTTCTGAATGGAAGTCAGAAAGCTACAGGGAAGGGTTTGGTGATCTTTTCGATACATTCTTCAGAGTTTGATTGTGTACATATAATGCTGTATTACTTTCTAGAGCTTTCATTAAGTGTGACAGTTTAAGCAGGAATTTTGTTCAAGGAAACCTGATCTTTTGCATACACAAGATATACTTATTTCAATAGCAATTAGTTGTAGTAAATAATGAATTACATTTTTTGCCTGTCTGTGTCTAAGTAGAGAATATGAGTATTGGAAAAGGTGAGTGGGCCAGCCAGTGGCATGGTGGTGGTGGGGGTGACTGGATCCCATATGGCCAACTGTGCAATTCACATCTCAGATCTGGAACATGAGGGACACAATGTGTGTGTGTGTGTGTGTGTGTGTGTGTGTGTGTCTGTGTGTGCATGTGCACGTAACCCCAAGAGAATGGAGAAGGGGTTGAGGCGTGGGGATCTCCTCGGGAGGTGCTTTCTAACTTTCTCTCTGTCTGTCTCTCCCTCCTCTGCCTCTTTCCAGTGTGTGCACACATCCTATAGAAAATTCAGAAGAAAAAGAAAACCTAAAAGTTTTTTGCATATTATATTAAATTAAGACTAGAGTGACTTTTTCCACTGAACCTGGGCTTTTATTTCTTTGCACTATAATCTTCTTTTAGAATCAGTTTAAGAACAGTATTTAGAAGGGCCTATTTTTTCTTTTTTTAATTCCCATTTCATTATTTCTGTTGGGTTTGGGACTGCTATTATTACTATTCAGTAGAGTTCATAACACAGAAGATAGAAACATGCTTTGAGGTTGAGTGATATGGAGTAAGGATGTCCTCTTACCATGTTCTTCTTTCCAACCTGTGTTACAGGACTGAAGATCCTTAGAGTAATAAATGAACCCACTGCAGCAGCTATGGCCTACGGTCTCCACAAGGCTGATGTCTTTCACGTCTTGGTGATAGACTTGGGTGGTGGGACTCTGGATGTGTCGTTACTGAATAAACAGGGAGGCATGTTTCTAACCCGAGCCATGTCTGGTAAGAGACAAAGGAGAGTTAGAGGCTCAGCCAGTGCTTTCCTTAACATATCTGATGTGTAAACTTTTTTCTTTTTAACTTCATTTTGGTAATTTGCAATGTATGTAATTTTATACCACCATTTATGTATATTTAGAGTAAAAAGTTAAGTCTTAAGTGATTGGCCTTTCTGTAAGTCAGAGAATATACTGCCAGTTCAACTCATTGAGCCAATAGGACTTTTCATGACAGCAGTGAAGGGAACAGAAAGGAAGTAAATTTCCTTTAAAATGAAAGGTGATCAGTTTATTTCATTTAATGATAATATGTTTTCTAAAGTGGTGTCTTTATGAAAATCTAATTGTAGTCCTTTCTAGGAAATGATAAAGATTTTCATTATGAATCTTTTTTGAAGACTTTTATTTTATTTGATAGGTTAAAAAATTAAGCTTATTTAAAAAGTTGAGCATTTTTCTTTTGTTTAACCAATGTCTTAATTGACACTCTTTAGATCCAAGTTAAATGCTGAGGATTTATATTACAGTACTCTTCCATTGAAATAATTTTTTCTCCTTTCAGCTCTTAATCATGTAAGCAAAATAATGGAAAAGAGAAGATACAATGCCTACTGTTACGTTTCCATTTTAAGAAGTGCTTTCTTTTGTGGAGAATAATGACTGTAGTGTTTTAAAATAGTTACTTAAAAGTCAATCTGTGTTTTCAGTCTATTTTCTGAAAAAATAGTTTGATTTGACATACAGTGATACTTCTTTTTATATTATTTAAAAATTTTAACCCAGATATATATTCTTTTTAAATAACGTATTTGAGTTGAAATCATTTTAACTCAAGTATTTTAAATTAGTCTGTATGACTGAAATCTTTATGATATAGTAAACAAGGGATTTGTTATTCCCAGGATGTGATTTTTATACATGCATGCATAGAACCATGTGTTACATGCTCACATGCACATAAATATAAACTTTTTTTCTTACTTAGGAAACAATAAACTCGGGGGACAGGACTTCAATCAGAGATTACTTCAGTACTTATATAAACAGATCTATCAGACTTATGGCTTCCTTCCCTCTAGGAAAGAGGAAATCCACAGATTAAGACAAGCTGTGGAAATGGTCAAATTAAATCTGACTCTTCACCAGACTGCTCAGATGTCAGTATTACTAACGGTGGAGGAAAAGGACAGGAAGGAACCTCAGAGTAGTGACAGTGACCTGCCAAAGGACAGGCTTTCCACAGCAGATGGCCATCATGTGAACAGTGTGCTTGCACCTGCTCTTTCTGGAAAGAAAAGTGGAGAAAGTCATGTCTTATTTGAAACAGAAATATCACGGAAGCTCTTCGATACTCTTAATGAAGATCTGTTCCAGAAAATACTTGTACCCATTCGACAAGTATTAAAAGAAGGCCACCTGGAAAAGACTGAGATTGACGAAGTGGTTTTAGTTGGGGGCTCTACTCGTATTCCTCGAATCCGCCAAGTCATTCAAGAGTTCTTTGGGAAGGATCCCAACACCTCTGTAGACCCTGACCTGGCAGTGGTGACGGGAGTGGCTATCCAAGCAGGGATTGATGGAGGCTCTTGGCCTCTCCAAGTCAGTGCTTTAGAGATTCCCAATAAGCATTTACAAAAAACCAACTTCAACTGAATCATGGAGAAATGAAGATTTGTTAGCTTTTCTGATATCCTCTTCCTGTGATCAGGCCACCTCCTTAAAAAAGTGTCTAAAATATCTCACAGATTTACCTAGAAGGCCACATTTGATACAGGAAAATTTTACATGGTATTTTGTTTTAGGAGTGGGTGTGATCAGATGTGATTCTGTCTGATTTGGGAGAGATTCCATTCCAATAGTCCTAAAAGTATAGAATTGAGGTAAAACTCTCATGCATGGCTATGTTTTCTGGATCCTGGAAATACATAACCATATACACTTACCATTACATTCTGTAAACATTGAGCAGTGCCAATGACAAGATTCCAGTTCCTACTAAATTGTATTAGCAGGAGCTGGTCATTTCTTTACTCGGTTATGACAAGTAACTATTAATTTGAACTGTACTTGAAGGATGGGGTTGATGTCAGGTATTTACATTGGCTGGGAGATAGCAGTATTAGTGACATAAGCTGCATACATAATATTCAATAACTGCCATATTATTCAGTAAATTTACTTTTGCAGACTCACTATCCCATTAGATGTCATATTTTCATAATCTGCACCCTTCAGGTTTTTCAATGTATTTAATAGATTAATTATTTTCTAAAATACCAACAGTTGTATTCAAATGTGTTGATACAGAAAGTAGAAATGTCCAATTTATATTCTAGTTTCCTCATCTGTGCATCCTTCTCTGCTTGGATTTCTATGATTCTGCCTGTTTAGAAAACAATAGGGAACTATTACTTGGCATTTTGAAAACGTGTTAATGTCAAAATAAAGCCAACATTACTAACTCATTTTTATTTCCAAGATCTTTTCTTGGAATAAATAGCATTCATTATCTACTGTATTTGTTTTTGCATTTTTGTTTCTGTGTTTATAATTTTGGTAAGCCCTGGGGAATGTAGCATACATTTGAGCTACCAAGTTATCAAATTATATTCAATATTATTGAGATTTTCTACCTTATTTAAGTTTTCAGTGAGGATAATATACTCGATTATAAAAGCCCTGTTCCTATTTTTCTTATTTTTAAATAGTTAACACTTGGACTATTTTTAGCCATAAAGTTAATGGATGTTAAGAGCAAAACTTCGTGAATACTGGAAGTAAAGTAGAAATTTAATGTTGAAAGCATTGTTAAAAAATGGCCAGAAATCAGTATTTGTAGCAGTTGTGTTTTTTTATTTTGTTTCTTCTAAGAAAAACCGCAGGGACTAAGAAAGAACTATACTACAACAGTTCAATTTCTCTGATACCCATATTATATGAAGATACATATTTTTTACTTTTTTCCATATTTTTTGGTTAATATAAAATATATCGGCTTTTATCCATTGCTGAGGAAGGTGGTTGAATTTCCAATCATTAAAAAAGAGAACTAAGCAACTTCAACATCAACACATTTCAGCTTTTCATAGTAAAAATCTGAATGTTAATATTTTTTATAGACCTAAAAAAAATGTTTCTTAGCAATGAAATTGCAGTTAAAACAAATTTTAATCAAATACTGTTGTGTTTAGAATATGTCTGTAGTAGGTAGATAGTCCCTTGTAAAATGTTTGTTGATAAGTTTTATTTTAGAACTAATGGAGAAATGCCAAAGATGACTCCTTCACTGCATTATGAAGATTCAAGTATTCTCTTGGACTTTATCTAAGTCTCTACAGATCGTAGAACTGAAAAAAATCTCCTTGTAAAGGTCTTTCAGAGAAGTATTTGATTTATCTCAAAATCACATATAGTGTCAACTTTAACCTAACACATTTTAATTAAAAAAAAAAAGCTTAACTTTCTCAAATATTCGAGATAGTTCAAGACAATCGATTAATTTGTTAATGCTTTTTACAAGTATTGCAAAGCAGGCAGCTAATCACATAGAATTGGAATTTAAGTGATTTGTGTCTTAAAAGGAGAGTGGCAGTGTTGGAATTTGGGGGCAGTAGTTTAGCATATTCTCTAGTAGAGTTATACCTTTAAAAAGTGGAGGAATATCTGTCTTCAGTCATATTATAGTGGGCTATGTATAATAGTCTTGAAATCAATGTAGTTTATTTATTTAAAAGATAGGAATGCATCCGGAAGAAGATCATTTATGAATTGCAACCTGAAGTCATTATCATTTTTCATAAACTTAATATACTTCAGTTATACACCTAGCAACTGTTTTTCAGAATATGTTACATTTTAAATATTTAGTGTCTTGTATGACTAGGAAATGTGAGTAATTTATTTTGTATCAGGAATGTATTGGTACTGTGTTTTCACTCAGACCACTGACTTATCAACAGACTCTGTATGTAACATGTACTGAATATTACAGTTATTGTGCATAACAACAGATTGTGCCTCTTAAAATTGTGTGTGTACAGGTAATTCACATTTTAATGTAAATAAATATCATTTTGCAGTTTGTTTTTTAAGCTGTGTACTTTATTTTTCCTTTAGGACTAAGCTAGACAACATTTTTTTTTTTTTTTAAGAGAGATTTTTGCTATAAGGCGCGTGCTCTCTATGGAGAGACAAAAAGTGGGAAATCACCTGCCGGAGGGGATGGGCACACAGCAATCCTTTTTCTGTTCCACGCTCCTGAGATTCTGGACACGCATGCGCACATGCTGGCATGAGTTTCAAGCCACCGGGTCCAGGACTCAAATTGTGGTCAGCCTCATGAGGGTCCAGTGCCCTAACCACTATGACACCTGCTGGCCCTTCGATAGAGTCTCAGATGAGTCTTTAAATAAAGATGGTGGACTTATTAGCTCCTTTGCAAGGACTCCAATGATAAAAACGAATAATGTCACTTTCATATTTATTTTATTTATTGAACGAACGTATAGTGCCTCTCTGAAGTAGACATCTTATGTGGCTCCCAGAGATCTGTACCTCCTGCTATTTACCACCTTGCGTAATTCTCTGCCCTGAAATTTGGACAAGGTTGAATGATTCATTGCTAATGTACAGAATATGGCAGACCTGCTGGGATGTTGGGAGATGAGCTGCTGTTTTAGGTTCACCCTCTTCTTGAGAGCACAATCCCATTTCCCCAGCACACCAGCTCCTCAGGCTCTTGAGCTCCCACACAGATGCTTCGCTTGCCTTGAGACTAACTCAGGGGTCCAGCTGATCCAGGGAACCAAATCTGCAGTCAGACATGGCTTCTAGCACTGCAACGCAGTATGCTATGGACCGTACCACCTAGCCCGAGCTCAGACTCAGTTGGATAGTCTTGTGGACCTGAATTGGATCTCACTGACCAAGATCCTCTCAGAATCATTCTAGGTGATGTAGCAGGCATGAATGACATCTTTCTTATTTAGGGAGGGTTGAAAGTGACGTCTCAAATGCCTTGCACATTGCCTGTCATGTAGTAAGCTTTCAATAGTAAATATTATTATCCTTAAAGAAATTGAGTTAAGGTTCCAGCAGTTAGCGTAACGGCTATGTCGCTGGAGTCAACCGGTGCCGCGCAACTGACGACTCCGGAGACGGTCTTCTCTTCAGCACTTTATTTACCCCAGGCTCTGTTACAGAAGTTCTTCCCTTCCTCCCCAACCCTAGGACCTTATAAAGGAACCCTGGCCAATCGCATCCCCCCTGGGGGGTGATTTCTCGCTTTCTATCTCTCTGTCTCTGTCTGTCTGGCGAGCGCATGTGCCCTATAGGAAAGAAAAAAAAAAGAAATCAAGTTAATGCTGTTTAGAATTTTTCTTCTATCAGCTAAGGTAAGTATTTTGCATAATGACATTTTTTTTCCAAAGTTGTGAGAGAGGGAGAGAAAGAGCACCCTCAACTGGGTCTCTACATCACAGTCCATTTCCAAGCTCCAGTCAGCCCAGGTCGTGAGGGTGTATGTGTCTGGCATACTCAGGGAGGTCTGCGGACTTGATTCTGGGAACTTCCCAGGTGGGATTGCCTCATAGAGCATCATGTTCTTCCACAGCACCACAATCTGCATATTGAAATTATAAACACTGTGTGCTTTATCATTTTTGAAGTCTTCTAACAAATCAACAATCATGCTTAATCTATTTTGAAGTCTTCTAACAAATCAACAATCATGGAATAGCATTTTCTTAAATACAAAGTGTGCTGCTTTTCTGTAATTCAGCATTGTGAATGCCCTGTTCTTCTTTTTTTTTTTTTTGCAATATATTTCAGTGACTGGAAAAGCTTGAGGAACATAACTGAAATAAGAAAGAGAAATTTTTTTCAAATTTATTTTTGTCATAGTGCTCTTTCCAGAGAAAGAGACACTGAGAAAAGAAGTGAGAAATCACTCCTGAGGGAACAAATTTATTTTTGTCATAGAGTGTGTGCTCTTTCCAGAGAAAGAGATACTAAGAAAAGAAGTGAGAAATCACTCCTGAGGGAATAGCCACACCACATCTCTTCTCCGTTCTCTTCCTGGGACCTGGGGCACTCATGCACATGCACTGGGTGTAATTTTTAAGCCACAGGTTCTGGGACTTGAATCACAGCCATGTGGGAGTCCAGTAACATAACCACTATGCCATCTGCTGACCCCCAAATAGTAATTTCATAAAATAATAAAATACTTTCATCTTAGTCATTTTTTTAAATTTTTGCTTTCTTTTTACTCTTTAAGGATAATGTGTAATTAAAATACAATATGTATCTGTTGGGACCAGCAGATGGCCTAATGGCTACATTGCCGGACTCTCATGTCGTCGACTGTGGCTTGAGTCCTGGACCTGGTGGCTTAAACTCACACCTGGGAATGTATGCGTGCGTGCCCAAGATCCCGAGAGGAGAATGGAGGAGGAGAAGGGATTGCTGTGCGGCCATTCCCCCGGGGGATGATTTCTCACTGTCTCCCTGTCTCTGTCTTTCTGGTGAGCGCATGCGCCCTATAGCAAAATCCTCTCCAAAGAAAAAAAATACAATGTTTATCTGCAAATACACAGTACATGCCGAAAGCTGCACATATCCTAAGTATGCAGTCTGATGAAGTCTCACAAGCTGAGCCCATGCTCAGGCACAGCCTGAAAAACAGAACATAACCAATAGTCCAGAAGCCCAACTAGTGCAGCCTATCAAAATTCCTCCCCACCAGGGAGAACCAGGATTGCAACTTCTAATAGTAGAGATTAGTTTTTGCTTTTACTTGTAACTTTTTTTTTTTTTTTGAGAGATTTTCACTGTGGGGCGCGTGCGCTCGCCAGACAGACAGAGAGAGACATAGAGACAGAAAGCGAGAAATCACCCCCCAGGGGGGATGGTCACGCCGCAATCCCTTCCCCTCCATTCTCCTCTCGGGATTTTGGGCACGCACGCACACGCGCCCGGCGTGAGTTTTAAGCCACCGGGTCCGGGACACGAACCGCGGTCGACTACGTGGGAGTCCAGCGACATAGCCATTACGCTAACTGCTGGTTCCCTAACTTTTATATTAATAGAGTCAAGGGACCATATAATATTTGTGGCTAGTTGCTTTCAACATTATGTTTGTGAAATGGTCATGTCTTTAGTTGTACATTTATTCTTATAGATGGATAGTGTTCCATTGTATCAATATGCCACAATTTATCCAAGCTACTATTGACTTCCCATTAGATTTTCAAAATTATATAGCTTTTCTCATTTACTGAAAGCACAGGAACAGGAACCTAAAACACCTTTTGATAGGTATTAAAATATCTAGATCCCTTTCTTAATGAATTTCACCAGACAGTTATTCAGTGTTTACATTTCTGGGATTATAAAGACAAGGCAGTAGTACTTCAGCTAGTTTACATTATAATGGGAGGATACTTTTGATAATAAAGAGTTTTCTAGTTTAAGGCAGCTATTCCTAACTACCCTAAGGAAATGAAGTAAGCTGTACGAGATTGCATAGGAAGGAGTCAAGAGGCTAAAAGAAATGGTTGATGGGCCTTAAAGAACATGGTAAAATATTTTATTTAAATCACCCTGAAAGGAAAATACCATTGAAGTTTCAACACTTGAAATTTGAAGGACAATTCAAAGATATAATGGTGTTTCTATTACATAAAACTATGAAATAAAGAAGACGAATAGAATCAGTACTACAGATCAAGTCTTGTGCTGAATGTATCTGATGCCATGTCACTGAGGTGGATCCAGCCCAAAAATTATGTTTCAAAGAAAATATTATTATATTTCAAAGAAAATATTATTTTTACTCAAAGACAAATAATAAAAATAGTATAAAACATTATTTTTTTAAAAAGCAGACCATTAAATTCAGTTAATAGTTACCCTTTCCCAAAGCCGCTGAATAACTTATTTTTTGATTCCTGTCATTTCATTAAATGTACAGTAGCTCAATATATATTAAATCTATGCATATATCTATATGTGTATATTATTATATATGTAATATATGTCCACATATACACAAACTTATCACATTACTCTAAAGTGTCCAATCATCATTCCACAAACACTGTTGCATATCAGCAATGTTAAAAGCACGATGTTAGGAACCTAACATATAAAGATGATTAAAATTAGGCAGTTGCCTTCAAATAGTTGTGCCTAGGAGGAGAGACCTACTTCAAGAATTAATATAGATCATGGTCCTTGCTGAGGTAAAGGTATGCACGTGGGCCTGGTCAGAGCACAGAAAAGATTAATCCAGATACGAGTGTAAAGCAAAGATCAGGTGATCAGGAGATCAGCTTCATTGAGGAGGCGCCTCCTGCACAAACTCAGAGGCTGAAAGGAAAAGTGATATTGAGCATTTTGAGCAATGCGGAGAAGGCAGGGAATAAAGAATATGTTATAAATTACAGTAATTATCAATATCCGTATCGGCTCATACAATGTAAATTATGTGGGAACGTGATTTCCCCCATCATTGTTTTTAAAATGCTAATGCACTACAGTTGTTTTATTCAGTATAATACGTGCAGCTAAGGTCATTTATTTGTTCTTCCCTTGAGTCTTGTGTTATTCCAGCTTCTGTTGCCATTTCGAAGAAAAGTCCTTTCCGATGTATGAGCATCTGTGGTGTTTCAAATTCTACAATCCTTCCAGAGTCTAAAACAAGCACCCTACAATGAGAAAAGAATCCAGTCAGGTAACTGATAACCAGTTCTTACCTATTTTTTGTCTTAGTAATGTAGGGTTTAAATTACTGTGTGAATTACAACATATAAGGATGATTTCACTGAAGAAAAAAGTCAAATTGTCCAACATTACTTTAGCATTACAATTTTTCTCTAAAATTTTGTATATTTCAGCAGATAAAATGTTTTTGGTAGTGGCAAGTAAGTACATGTTTCATATGTCCAATATCTATCTAGGTTGAAACAGTTTTATTTCTGAAAAGAAATAAAGCGTACCTGTCTGAATCAATGATAGAATGCAATCTGTGGGCAATTGTCAGGATGGTGCAATCAGAAAATTCCTTCCTAATTGTGGTCTGCACCAAGTTATCAGTCTCAAAGTCAATGGAGGCTGTTGCCTCATCCAAGATGAGAATTTTTGTTTTTCGAAGCAGAGCCCGACCAAGACAGACCAGCTGGCGTTGTCCAACGCTGTTAAAGCAAAAAGAAAGAAAGTAAAATAATGTCAGCAGTGGCCTTTAAGATTATGCATTTTCTGCTCTAAAATTCTGATTATCTTGTTATTTATTCCTTTTCTAATGCATACATTCATTTGTTCTTTTATTCAAGAAATTCCCACTGTCCATTGTGGAAAACAGTATGGAAGCTCCTAAATAAATTAAAACATGACTTTTTCATATGACCCAGCAATCCCTCTTTTGGGTGTATAGCCAATAGAAATGAAATCACCACCTCATAAAGCTCATCTGCACTTTCATGTTAATTGCAGCATTGTTCACAATAACTGAGATACGGAAACAATGTAGGTGTCCATCAATGGACAAACGGATAAAGAAAACATATACATATACATAAAAATGGAATGTTACTCAGCCTTTCAAAAGGAGGAGATACTGTCATTGGCCACAAGATAGATGAACCTGCAGATTATGCTAAGTGAAATAGGCCAGACACAGAAAGACAAATACTGCATGGAATCTAATAAAAGAAAGAAAGAAATAAAAACAGTCAAATCCAGATATTCTTCAATTTACTCCATGGAATTATGTCCCAATAGACCCACCAAAAGTTTAAATATCGTAAGTCAAAGTGCATTTAACAGAGTGCACTTAACCTACGGAACAACACAGTTTAGCCCGGCAGATCCCAAATGTTCTCAAAACATTTACATTAGCATACAGGTGGGCAAAAGCATTTAATGAAAAGACTATAGAGTGTTGAGTATTTCAAATTCTGAAGTACAATTTCTATTGAATATATATTGCTTTCACACTACTGTAAAGTCAAGAAAGAAAAACATAGCCCTAGCCATTGTTAAGTCTTAAACAGTCTGTACTGAAATAGAAATGAAAATATTGGTTACCAGGGTCCCTTAGGAAAGCAAATGGAAATGTAGGTCAAAATATACAAAGTAGCAAATATGTAGGACAAACAAGTGGAAAGATCTAATGTACAACCTAGGGACTACAGTTAATAATTGTGTATTTTATTCAGGATATATATATATATATATATATATATATATATATTAGTTGTTATAGCGCACCTGTTCTTGTTAGAGACAGCAAAAAAGAAAGGGAGACAGACAGACAGTGAGAAAGCACCCCGCATGGGGGATGGCCATGTCAGAATCCCTTCTCCTCCATGCTCCACTTGGGATCTGGAATACACACACACACAATGTCTAGAGGGTTTTTCAAGTCACCAGGACCAGGATTTGAACTACACGGTCGGCTAGGTGGGATCTTGCTGCCTTAACCACCACACCACTGTCTGGCTCCAGGATTTGTGCTGAGTAAATCACAGTTGTTGCCACAGGGAGAAAGAAATGGGTAACCAAGGGGAATGATGGATATGTTAATTTATTCCAATATAGTAACCATTTTGTAACATCTGCCAACATCATGTTGTAAATCTTAAATACGCACAATAAAGTTTATTTTAAACGTATTTATTGAGAGATGACTATGTGCCAGACATTTGTCCTGTTCTGGGGCTAGAGTGATGAACCAAACAGTAAAAAAATTCTATCCTATAGTTTACAAGCTCATGGGGACACAGAAAATCAAATAAACAAGATGCTTGGTAAAATTCACGATAACAATGAGTATAGCATAACTGAATATAGTATTTTCATATGTAATATGTATATAATATAGAGAATTCAAACACACAGAAAGGGGAGTCTAAAGGAAGAGTGAGGGATGGGCATCTTACATAGGTGTGCCAAAGAAATCCTCAGGAGAAGGAAGTGGAGAGGTAACCCCACAGATTTCAGATGAAACTTGTTCCAGCCAAAGGGAGCAGTGCAAAGTCCCTGAGGGAGGGGGGAGCTGGCCTGGCAAACTCCAACAGTAAGTAGCCAGTGTGACAGAAACAGATGAGAAGGGAGAAAGATCTCAAAGAGCCGAGACTCAGCCTTTGCACCACTAAAGGGACCTTGCTCAGTTTGCCTGTGCCTCTCATCATATGAAAGGACTGCACAGTGACTCCTGTAGCCCTGTACAATATTTTTTACCAAGACAACTGAGAAGTATAGGAGCCTTGACAAAAGATTTGACTAAACAGTGGCTTTTTTTTCTTCATAATGATTTTATTTATTATTATTATTTTTCTAAAAAATCGATCAGAGGGATAGAGAGACAGATAGAAAGGGAAAGTGAGAGAGCAAGCTGCTAGGTCCAGGACTCAAACCATGGTTGACCATGTGCAAGTCGAGCACCCTAACTACCATGCCACCTGCTGGCCCCAGTAGAGGCTTTTCACACTGAAACATTTTTCTTTTTCCCCTCCCTTTCTTTTTAAGAGAGAATTTTTTGCTATAGGGTGTGTTTGCTTGCTGATAAAACAGAAAACAAGAAATCATCTCCCAAGCGGGGATGGCCATAAAACAGAAAACAAGAAATCATCCCCCAAGCGGGGATGGCCATACTGCAATCCCTTCTCCTCCATTCTCCTCTCGGGATTTTGGGCATGCACACACATGTGCCTGGCCCGATGTGCAAGCCGCCAGGTCCAGTACTTGAACCGTGGTCAACTACGTGTGAGTCCACTGACATAACTATTACTACGCAGTCTGCTGGTCCCTCCCCTTCCTTTTCTTTCACCAGCAGTTTCCCAGCCTACATGTACCATTTTATTCCTTGTTCCTCTTTTTGGAGAGACTCAGCAATGACCAATGATGTGTTTTCATCACCCCAAACCAGCTCTTTTATGACTCAAGAGCTCTTTATCTTTGAGGCTAGTTCAAGTTCCTAAAAAGCCTGGAATGAATAACTTGGGTCAGCTCTGTTCCTAGCAGCTTACCTGAGGTTTTCACCACCCTCCGATATTTCATGCAGCAGCCTTTTGGGAAGGGATTGCACAAACTCTTTTAAATGACATAATTCTAGTACCTCCCACAGCTCGCTATCAGAATACTGGTCTAAGGGATCCAGGTTCGTTTTAAGGGTTCCAGAAAATAAAACAGGGTCCTGGAAAATAAAATATTATCTATAATCTTACTGTCACATCAGGCAAAAGTACATTTAACAAATTAGACTCAGAAAAATGCAGGCAAAATAATCAAAGCCAATTATCAAATTCATTTCATATTAGTAAAAAACAAAAGTCAGATAAATTATAATTCAGTTTAAATCATTATGCACATCCTGATTCTCTTTATTCTCCTAATTTTCTTTCCTCCTACTCTTCTTTGACCTTTTTTCCTCTTTTTTTTTTTTTTTGGAGAGTTTTTCGCTATAGGGCGCATGCACTAGCCAGACAGACAGAGAGAGATAGAGAGACAAAAAGTGAGAAATCACCCCCCAGAGGGGATGGTCACGTCGCAATCCCTTCTCCTCCATTCTCCTCTCGGGATCTTGGGCACGCACGCACACGCGCCCGGCATGAGTTTTTAAGCCACTGGGTCCGGGACGCAAACCGTGGTCGACTACATGGAAGTCCAGTGACATAGCCATTACGCTAACTGCTGGTTCCCACCTTTTTTCCTCTTTATTAGTAGATAAAACTAACAAAGCTAATTAGTTTTATTTATTTGTTAATATCACTATTTGATTTTATTTGAACAGGTGAGGTGGCTCTGTTTCTTGTTATTTATAGTAACACTATTTCTCCTTCCTGTAAATTAATCCAGTAAAATGTTAAGAACTCATAAAAATAGTTGCAATTAAGATACTACAATTGTGGAGCTTAAATATTTTCTCTTAACTGATGAATGATTTGAGGCCAATTATAAAAATTGAATAAGGGATTGGATCATGGTGCAGCAATAAAAAAAGTGATGCTTCATTTCAAGTTCAGAGACCTCCCTGTATGTTCCAGGCACACCCTTGCCCATGATCCAGGGCTGGCTGAAGACGGGGAGTGGACTGTGTCATCAATCATCAGTTCTCTCTGTCTCTATTGATCATTCAGGAAATAACCTTTTAAAAAAGAATAAGTATTTATTTTTATTCATTATTATCATTTTAATTTGATCAGAGAGAGACACACACACACACAGAAAAAGAGAGAGAGAAAGTGAGAAAGCAAGCCACTGGCTCCAGAATTCAAACGGCAGTCAGTCATGTGGGAGTCCAGCACCTCAACCACCATGCTACCTGCTGGCCCCAGAAATATACTTCTAAAATAGGGACATTTTAATAATTTACTCTCTATAAATGTTTGTTCCTGTTTCTGAAGAGCTGTCCCTAACAATAACCGTAATGATAATTTAGTTAGGGGTGTAAGAAACATAATATAATACTATCAATAAGTATCTAACCCAGAAGGGTAAAAATCAATATCCCCATTCTCCCCTGGAAATTTTGGGCATACATGCATATGTGCCTGGTGTGATTTTCAAGCCGCTGGGTCTGGGACTCAAACCATGGGTGACCATGTGGGATCCAGCACCTTAACCACCGTGTCACCTTCTGGTTCAGAGTACATGTTCTTTTAACTACACCAAGATGCCTAGTGAAACTGTAATATATTTTACTCCATCTGCATGTATTTATAACAGAGGGATGACTGATGTCTCTTTTCTTGTCAGATTTTTTTTTCCTTGCCAGAATTCCGTGTTTTGCTCTTGTTTTGAGGTAAACCTACTAACACAAGTGTATGTCTGAACAATGTGGTAAGTACACTTTAGTATTTTAAGATATTTTTTGAAGATAATACAAAGATATTTCAAAGTACCAGAAAAATGGGTCTCTCAAACTCAATTGAATGAATTATCTTTGCCTTAAGAGGCATATTCTTGAGTCAATTTATATAGTTGCTAATAATCAAGTTCCTTTGATTCCACCACAGATGGAAAAATTTTAAAAAATGTTTAATAAAAGGTAATAAAATTATTGTTCTTTTTAAAAAAAACTTTCTGAACTTCAAGTCAAAGGATTCAAAGCCCTACAAATGGTAGACTAAATAAGGTCTTAATTTTTTTCTTTTAAAAATACCAATGCTTTTTTTATGATTTATTCATGTGAATTTTATTTACATTTAACTATTGTGAAGGAAATTTTCAAAGCAAAGTATGAGATTTTCAAAATGATAAATGCTCTTAAAGAGAATGTTTTATAGTAAGAGTGTATGACAGAATTCAATTACATAGCAATTTTTCATAATACATTTAAAATGATCTGACTTCCAAAAATCAATTTATGTAATTGGAAGGAACAATTCTTTTTTAAAACAAGAATGATGAAAAGTTAACTTGGACTGAGTTAAGAAAGACAACTGGCAGAACAGATTTTACCTGTGGAATTATATTAAGTTTGCCACGAAGGTCATGAAGCCCAATAGTTGCGATGTCGATTCCATCAATAATAATTTTGCCTCCTGATCTCTCCACAATTCTAAATAAGCAATTTGATAATGTTGACTTGCCCGCTCCAGTCCTTCCCACAATTCCAATCTGCAGTGAAATGATCACGGTTTGCACTGAATCTTTTGTAAGAGAATGGGACCTTTGCACTGGCAACTAAGAAATTAGGTGTCAGGTCAGGGGGATCTAATTTTGCCAAACTAAACTAACCCTGACTGGTATGGAGGAAGTATCATGCCTTCTGAGGATCAATCTTTTCAAAATTATTATTATTACCATCATTATTTTCTAGTTTTTTAATTTTTAAATTTTTTTTAACAGGGGCCATGTACTCACCAGAGGGACAGAGAGAGAGGCAGAGAGAGGGAGGGAAAGTGAGAAATCACCCCCCCAGGGGGATGGTCATGCCATAATTCTATTCCCTTCAGCCTGTTCTCAGGATTTTCTGGTGTGATTTTTCAAGCCACTGGAAGCATGAAGTTGGCCACGTGGATGGGATTAGCACCTTAACCTCCATGCCACCTACTGGCTCCAATTCTTTTTATTTTTTAGTTTTAAAAAGTTTAATTTGGCAGAGGGTGTGCGCAAGTGCCAGAAAGCACCTTCAGTAGTGCTTGGTCATACCACAATTTCTTCTCCACTTCCTATCCTTTTGGGATTTGGGTCATGCATACACACATGGCCAGTGTTTTTCAAGGTACCAGGGCAGAATTTGCACTGCAGGGTTAGCCATAGGGATCTGGCTCTCTTAACTACTAGACTATGTAGCCCATCCTTTGCCAGATACATGACTCCCTAGAAAGACTCCGCCTAATTTTCCCTCTAGTTTTGAGGAATTTAGTTACCACCTAACCAGAGAATCCCAGCAGCCCCAAGAAGAGTAGGTCATCCTTGATCCACCCCTGAATATTAAAGGTGTGGGCTTTTGTCAGATAGGCTTGAAAAGCCAAAGGAATGCCTACAAATTTCCCCAGTGTATCAAAAGTAATTCTGCATTAACACTATCAAGGGAGATCATAGATAATGTTTAAAGATCTGACTCCTGGCCAAAATAATTACTTATCACAAACATCCCAGCAATTGAACGTGTGATCTTTTGGCCATGACGGCTAAAGCAATCTTTTCTGATGGTGGTATTTAACGCAAACATTAGGAAGAGAGAATGTTAATGTGGTTGGTTTGCTTTTTTTGCCAGAGGGCTCAAGCACTCTCTAGAGGGGTGTGTGTATGTGGGGGGGGTGGTAATGAGAAAGTACCCCCATGGGGGACAGGTATGCTACAATCCCTCTCCCATTTCTCCTTCCTTTCAGGGCACACTCTCACATGCACCTGGTGTGTTCTTCAAGCTGCCTCATTCAAAACTTGTACCACACAGTTGGCCATGAGGGATCCAGTGACCTTAAACACCGCACTACTGACTGGCCAAAGACTGTAAATATTACATTTGACAAAATACATCAGAAAACCTAGAAATCTGTTTTCAATTAATTGGGGTAATCAAAATTAGCGAGTAATTTTATTTGTTCAAAAATTGTTCTTTTTGATACTACTATAGTGGACCTGGTTTAGAGGATTAGTAAAATGAATGTTTAGGGTTTTAAAACATGAGTCTCTAAAAGAAAATTTGGACATTGCTGTTTCATTACCTTTATTTATTTGTAAATTCCTTTCTTATTATGGGAATGAAATGTGAGAAAAATATAGAAGTAAAACAAATCATTTTAAATCTCATCACCCAGAAAACCATTATTTATGCTTTCTAACTATTCTAGTATTTTCACTCATGTACTTAAATGTTCGCTTTTTTAAAACACAACATTGATGCTACATAGTTTTATATGTAGTGTTCAGTAAATTACATCTCAAGCACTGTCCCAGCTCACTAAAAGCCTTGGAAAACATGATGTCATTGATGATACATACATTACGTCATATGGATTTACCATATTTCTGGTACTTATTCTTGCGATTTATTTTAGAGAAGACATTTTAAAATATACTAAAATTACATTTCATGATAAAACATGTTTTTCTTTATAGAGAGAAAACTTTCCCGGACATATCACCCACATGGCTTTGTTACTGTTAAATGAAATTTTAACAGAAGACCATCTCATACTCAGTACCATGTGCTACCTAACAATAAGTGCATTCAGATAAAAGGGAAGATGAAAGTATGAAATAGATATAGTACCTTCTCTTCACTCTGAGTCTGGAATGTGATGTCTTGTAATGCTAAATCAAGATTATCTCGGTATCGAACCTGATAATTAATAAATTCCACGATCCCTTTATTGGGCCATTGTGATGGAGGCCTTGTAGACATTATCCAAGGTGCCTTAAAACAAAGAGACATTTTTAAAACTAAAATTATAATTAAAAAACCTTCCCCCAAATAATTCATACATGTAATCAAAAGTGAGTATAAATGATTGAAGCCTTTGGAGATACTATGCTCTTCTGAAAATGGTTTTAAATACCGCCAACATAAAACTTCTCATTTAGTTATAAGAAAATCTTAGAAATCAAATTTTAAAGGTGAGATGACTTCCCATTTCCTATCGAGTTATTAGGTAAAACCTACTTAAGTCCTATAAAGGAACTGAAGTTAAGTCGGAATTTGGGCTGAGATGAAGACAGTTTCTCGTACATTCATTGCTCAAAACCTTAGTATGGATGCAAGTCAGTGTTTTAGCAGCTGGAGACTGGGCAGTGGAAACACTCTTCTTATGGAGTCCACATGCTAAAGAATGACAGGACACATGAAGAATGTTAGGTGACAGTAAAGCTTCAGAGGGTAAGAACAAGGCAGACTTGGTAGGAGGAGAGAGTTAAGCAATTTGATAATGTTGACTTGCCCGCTCCAGTCCTTCCCACAATTCCAATCTGCAGTGAAATGATCACGGTTTGCACTGAATCTTTTGTAAGAGAATGGGACCTTTGCACTGGCAACTAAGAAATTAGGTGTCAGGTCAGGGGGATCTAATTTTGCCAAACTAAACTAACCCTGACTGGTATGGAGGAAGTATCATGCCTTCTGAGGATCAATCTTTTCAAAATTATTATTATTACCATCATTATTTTCTAGTTTTTTAATTTTTAAATTTTTTTTAACAGGGGCCATGTACTCACCAGAGGGACAGAGAGAGAGGCAGAGAGAGGGAGGGAAAGTGAGAAATCACCCCCCCAGGGGGATGGTCATGCCATAATTCTATTCCCTTCAGCCTGTTCTCAGGATTTTCTGGTGTGATTTTTCAAGCCACTGGAAGCATGAAGTTGGCCACGTGGATGGGATTAGCACCTTAACCTCCATGCCACCTACTGGCTCCAATTCTTTTTATTTTTTAGTTTTAAAAAGTTTAATTTGGCAGAGGGTGTGCGCAAGTGCCAGAAAGCACCTTCAGTAGTGCTTGGTCATACCACAATTTCTTCTCCACTTCCTATCCTTTTGGGATTTGGGTCATGCATACACACATGGCCAGTGTTTTTCAAGGTACCAGGGCAGAATTTGCACTGCAGGGTTAGCCATAGGGATCTGGCTCTCTTAACTACTAGACTATGTAGCCCATCCTTTGCCAGATACATGACTCCCTAGAAAGACTCCGCCTAATTTTCCCTCTAGTTTTGAGGAATTTAGTTACCACCTAACCAGAGAATCCCAGCAGCCCCAAGAAGAGTAGGTCATCCTTGATCCACCCCTGAATATTAAAGGTGTGGGCTTTTGTCAGATAGGCTTGAAAAGCCAAAGGAATGCCTACAAATTTCCCCAGTGTATCAAAAGTAATTCTGCATTAACACTATCAAGGGAGATCATAGATAATGTTTAAAGATCTGACTCCTGGCCAAAATAATTACTTATCACAAACATCCCAGCAATTGAACGTGTGATCTTTTGGCCATGACGGCTAAAGCAATCTTTTCTGATGGTGGTATTTAACGCAAACATTAGGAAGAGAGAATGTTAATGTGGTTGGTTTGCTTTTTTTGCCAGAGGGCTCAAGCACTCTCTAGAGGGGTGTGTGTATGTGGGGGGGGTGGTAATGAGAAAGTACCCCCATGGGGGACAGGTATGCTACAATCCCTCTCCCATTTCTCCTTCCTTTCAGGGCACACTCTCACATGCACCTGGTGTGTTCTTCAAGCTGCCTCATTCAAAACTTGTACCACACAGTTGGCCATGAGGGATCCAGTGACCTTAAACACCGTACTACTGACTGGCCAAAGACTGTAAATATTACATTTGACAAAATACATCAGAAAACCTAGAAATCTGTTTTCAATTAATTGGGGTAATCAAAATTAGCGAGTAATTTTATTTGTTCAAAAATTGTTCTTTTTGATACTACTATAGTGGACCTGGTTTAGAGGATTAGTAAAATGAATGTTTAGGGTTTTAAAACATGAGTCTCTAAAAGAAAATTTGGACATTGCTGTTTCATTACCTTTATTTATTTGTAAATTCCTTTCTTATTATGGGAATGAAATGTGAGAAAAATATAGAAGTAAAACAAATCATTTTAAATCTCATCACCCAGAAAACCATTATTTATGCTTTCTAACTATTCTAGTATTTTCACTCATGTACTTAAATGTTCGCTTTTTTAAAACACAACATTGATGCTACATAGTTTTATATGTAGTGTTCAGTAAATTACATCTCAAGCACTGTCCCAGCTCACTAAAAGCCTTGGAAAACATGATGTCATTGATGATACATACATTACGTCATATGGATTTACCATATTTCTGGTACTTATTCTTGCGATTTATTTTAGAGAAGACATTTTAAAATATACTAAAATTACATTTCATGATAAAACATGTTTTTCTTTATAGAGAGAAAACTTTCCCGGACATATCACCCACATGGCTTTGTTACTGTTAAATGAAATTTTAACAGAAGACCATCTCATACTCAGTACCATGTGCTACCTAACAATAAGTGCATTCAGATAAAAGGGAAGATGAAAGTATGAAATAGATATAGTACCTTCTCTTCACTCTGAGTCTGGAATGTGATGTCTTGTAATGCTAAATCAAGATTATCTCGGTATCGAACCTGATAATTAATAAATTCCACGATCCCTTTATTGGGCCATTGTGATGGAGGCCTTGTAGACATTATCCAAGGTGCCTTAAAACAAAGAGACATTTTTAAAACTAAAATTATAATTAAAAAACCTTCCCCCAAATAATTCATACATGTAATCAAAAGTGAGTATAAATGATTGAAGCCTTTGGAGATACTATGCTCTTCTGAAAATGGTTTTAAATACCGCCAACATAAAACTTCTCATTTAGTTATAAGAAAATCTTAGAAATCAAATTTTAAAGGTGAGATGACTTCCCATTTCCTATCGAGTTATTAGGTAAAACCTACTTAAGTCCTATAAAGGAACTGAAGTTAAGTCGGAATTTGGGCTGAGATGAAGACAGTTTCTCGTACATTCATTGCTCAAAACCTTAGTATGGATGCAAGTCAGTGTTTTAGCAGCTGGAGACTGGGCAGTGGAAACACTCTTCTTATGGAGTCCACATGCTAAAGAATGACAGGACACATGAAGAATGTTAGGTGACAGTAAAGCTTCAGAGGGTAAGAACAAGGCAGACTTGGTAGGAGGAGAGAGTGTCACTTTAAGGAGGGTGATTAGGGAGGATTTGACTGCTGGTGGTGAGGGAACCAGCCGCGTGGATCAGCACAAGAGCATCCAGGCAGAGGAAACTTAACCTTTTGTGCCAAGGACCTGAGACAGAGACCTGCTGGAATATCAGAGGAACAGCAAGGTGTGGAATGTACAAGATAATGTGATGCCTGGGCCTAGATGAAGAGTTTCATGGGAAAAGAAGTGACTGGCGATGTCACATGATTGCCTGCTAGAGTGAGCACTGAGGAGGAACTCTGAGTGATCCTGATAGAAGCAGGTGAGCTGGAGTAGTAGTATCAAACCCCTCTTGGAGAGAGTCCAAAAGAACAAAAGAAGAGGAATTAGAGACAGCAAAAACAGGCAATTGTCTCAAAGGATTCTTCGATAAGAAGGAGTAGAAATACAGAACTGTAGAGGGGTGAATGAAAAGGGCTGTCCAAACAAATTTACCTCTTCTACATCAAGAGTTTTCAGAGTAGTATTTGCTACAACCTGGGTCAAATGACAAAGAGTTTTTCTTTTTTTTTTTCTTTTAAAATACATGTGTGAATGTTTAAACACACACACATTAATTGTCTTTTTCTAAGATGCAATGAATATACATTAATGGCAAAAATTTAGAAAATAAAATGTCTTATTAGTCAAAACAGGGCAAATACATTGAGCAAATTGAATGTTAATAACTGGAAATTATGGAGGTAGACGAATCTTTCATGAAATCTGTGTTAGAGAAAGGTGAAAGATACAGGGACAAATTGGAGAAGATTCCAAGTTCAGATAGAAGTTGAAGGGTGTAGAAAATGTTTTAGCATATTTATTGGCTTAAAGGAGCAAGGGGCAGGGGTTCAAATTAGAAGAGGTAGTTAGAGTAACAAAATCTGAGAGGAGATGGGAGGAGAGAACCAAAAACACTACTGGAAATGTTAGTTTGATTAGCAAGAAGAGCATCTCTTCCTGAGACTTAAGAGCAAGAGTAGAAACCTTCACAGGTGGACTAAAGATGCAGAAATTCAAGGGACCTTTACCATCTGCTCTGTTAATTCATGGAACTTGGAGGCAGAATTAACCCAGAGGAGCAAAATGGACAAATAACTTGAATATTATACTCTGGCAATAGTCTAATTCTTTGCCCTCTCAAATTATAGCTCATTAAAGGAAACAAAGCAGGCTGATTTATTCTCCTCTTCCTTCCCAATGACATAGATGCTAATGGTGAGTAAATAGAAATGAAGTTACAAGATACGAGAATGTAATTAATTTAAAAATTGTTCAGATTCTAAATAATTATGAGGTGATTATATTAAGTCTTTTCTCTTTGTAAAAATTCCCACAGTTATAAACATAAGTTCTGCATTTTGCCCTACGTCAGTACAGAAGAAAATCACTGTGCCTTTTAAAAACAAATTTTTATATTCCATTTTTATAACTCAGTGAAAGAAAATGTATCTTATAATTTAGGAGTGTCCTAATTTAATTAACGGTGTTTTCTTTCTATCTTACTCATATATAAACTATGGTGCATTTTGCATTAATTTCAATTTTAATTTCTCTGAGGTGGTGACTATTACAACACGAATTTGGAAATGTACATTTTATTTGAAAAAGAAACAGAATTTTTTTAAAGACAGGGACTCATTGTGTTGACATCTTCCTGCCTCGGTTTCCTGATTTGCTGGGATTCCAGGTGCACATCACCAAGCGTGGACTGAGAATCATGCCCCAGTCTTCCATGTGGTCCTAGATGTGGTAGTGTTTTAGCCATGCTTACAACAGAAACTGGATATAAAATTTGTTTATTTATTTCGAAAGTATCACTTCAAAGTGCATTACAAGATCTTTTTTGCTGTTTTCTTTTGCCATGGGGCATGTGTGCTCACTGGAGAAAGACAGAGAGAGACGGAAAGTAAGAAAGCACCACCCCTGGGGGGATGGTCAAACCACAATCCTTTTTCCTCTCAGGATTTTGGGCATTCATGCACATGCGCCCAGGTCCAGGACTTGAACTGTTATCACCAATGTGGAAGTCCTACACCTTAGCCACCACACCACCTGCTAGCCTGCATTACAATATCTTAATCTTGAATCTATTGGCTATTTAGGAATGCTTACCTCTTTATCCATATTTTCATATTCACAAACTCTTTCAATAGAAACTGCATTGGTTTCGATTTCACATGCTTTCCTTACCCAAAAATTCAGAGATTGAGTAATCTGGGATGGATGAGAGAGAAAATAAGATTGTATTGCAAGTTCTTTCTTTAAAAACCTACAAATAATTTCTTTTTATATTTTCATATTTCAGAGTTTTCATATACTTTATCTCTTTAATATTTAACAACTCTGAAAGTAAGCCTATTATTTATTTATAGACACATTTCTGCTTCTTTAAGTATATTAAACACATTAGTATGATAAATAATGAAGCGATTTGACGGAAGACAGAATAACCATAGTTCAGCATATACTCAAGGAGCCTATTCTCTGTGTAAGGAATGGTGGACCAGGACGGGTGGTCTATGGCTCAAGAAATGTGCATTCTAAACGAGGAGAAGGACAGACTGCCCATTTTGGCGTTCTTCACTCTCTCACGTCTTCTCAGAAAGAAGAAAAATTCTCCTAACTCTGTAACTGTTGTTTCCTTCTTTCCTTCCTTTCTCTTTTTCTTTCTTTCAATTCTACTTTCTTCTTATCCTACCTCCAAATAGAAGTATTCCAAGGTTGTAACTTCAAACCTAATTCTGAAAGTCCAAAAAAAAAAAAATTTTACAATTCCTTTTTTTTTTTTGAGCTCGAGTCCAATCTGATTGATGGCCCACCTGACTACTTAAACAGATAAGAACTATTAAAGCATTTACTTAAACCAATTAGGGTGAAAACGAGGGAGCTCTAAAAAGAGTGAATAAAAAATGTGTATTGTGAAAAACTGGGTGAATTTTAATTTTCTCTGCACCAAAATAAACTCATACTTTAATTTCATTTTCCCCACCAATTTTTTGAAGTCTCCTTGTATGTACACATTTTGCTGAAGAAGCAGTAATGTTTGAGTATGAGACTTTGTCTCAGGCTCTCCTTGTGTATGAGAAAGGAGTTTTTCAAAAAGTTGGGACCAGCAGTTAGCGTAATGGCTAGGTCGCTGGACTCCCATGTAGCTGACCGGACCCAGTGGCTTAAACTCATGCAGGGCACATGTGCATGCATGCCCAAGATCCAGAGAGGAGAATGGAGGAGAAGGGATTGCGACATAGCCATCCTCCCTGGAGGGCGATTTCTCACTTTCAATCTCTCTGTCTCTCTCTCTGTCTCTCTCTCTCTCTGTCTTTCTGGTGAGCACACGTGCCCTATAGCAAAAAACCTCACCAAAAAAAAAAAAAAAAGTTCATGGGAAGTGCACACTATGAAAAACTTATGTATGAATTTCAATTTTTTTTCTTAATTGTTACAGGATGTGTGTGTTCAAAAGAGAGAAAGAGAGAGAGGGAGAAGGAGAAAGTACTCCCCAATGGGACATGGTCATGCCACAATCCCTTCTCCTCCATTTCTTCATCATCTGGGGATTTTCGACACACATATACATGACCTAGGATAGTTTTTAAGCCACTAGTGCTAGGATTCGAACCATAGTCAGTCATGTGGGATCCTAGCTCCTTTAGTCAGTGAGCTACAAGACTGGTCTGGATTTCAAGAATTTTTACACCAAAATAAACTGTCACTTTAATCCTTTTTTTCCACAGACATTTTTAAGAACCTTCATATATGTACCATATTCTGATTTTAGAAGCCTAATCTGAATTCTGAAATGCAACTGGTCTCAAGGTTTTTAGGTAAGGCATAAAATGTATGTACGAAAGTCATGTAGATACTCTTCTAAAGGACATGGAATTACATCAAGCAGTTCAGAGCATTTGTTGTTTTATTGGGTTATCAGAAAAGTCATGGCACATTTTTGCACAGAAAAATACATCATGACTTTCCAACCCAATACGAAGAGGGCATGAACACACGCATATCACTAGTGTTTTGCCATGAAGTACAAAATAGAACTTATTAGGAAAAAAGCTTCCAAGCAGTAAAGAAGCAGCACATGTATTCTTTCTTAAACTCCTTGCATAGGTGGGCAAATTGGGTGCACCAGTCAGGTGGCGAGGGACCCTATCCCTGTAACACTTTAAAAACCTGTAAGGATTCAGAGGACTGGCAACTTGTGGAGAAACTAGCTAACAGCAGGAGTCTGGTTTTTCAGCACTCAGCCCTGGGGATCAGTCTGTTCTGTGAGCTCCTTAGAAATGCTGAGCCAGCAGTAGCTTCGGGCTACTAACAAAATGAAGAAAGAAATGAGCCTCCAGGGCAATCCACATCTGTCTCCCATTACTTAGTTAATACAATCTATAATCCAGATCAGTCAAGGAGAGGAGTTTTTAATTAATTGGATTATAAACATACCATATACCATCATCATTACTTACATTTAGGGCGTAGGATATAGACAAACCAACTATTGCTGAATCTATGGAATCGCCAGCCAGCACAGCAAGTAGTGCGGCAAAGAACACCATTAAGTTGCCAAGAAATTCAAGTCTAACGGACAGCCACCTGTAATAAATGGAATGTGCTCCTGAGTAACTGAGATGAAAGAGTTTTGCTGCACTTAGAGCTACCTCTCCTCTGGGAAAAGCAAACATCAATAGCTGCTTGCTTTCTTTTTTCCCTTCTTACTTGGAACTCAACCTATGTTTATAGGACTGTCACAATGATGATAGCCTAAAGGATTTTTCTGCATAAAAGAGCAGTTTACTTTTGCAGAACTTTGCTTTAAAACCTAATCAGACTTAAAAAGAGAAAGAAATGAAAAAAGAACGCTAGCTAAAGTCATACAGTTTTAAATCCTGTTGGAAATTCAATGACCTGTGCAATTCATTGCATGCACCATTTTATATGGTAAAATTAGTCTTTAAAATTTAAAATTTAAATTTGAAATATGTCCAACTCCATTTAATATTTTATGTTCTCCTCTCCTTTATGTGAAATTATACCTTTAAATTAAGCAATTATAAAATAGTGTGAGCAAACAAAACACATTCTACAAATGTAGAATACAAGGTGCAAAGTTGTGTTGTTAGTGATTCTAATAGCATCCTCTATAACCTTGAAAACACCTTGGGCCTTATTTTCTTTATTATTTTTTTAAAGTTTATATGTTTTATTTCTTCCATGAGAGAGACATAGAGACAGAGACAGGCAGATTGACACCTCTGACAGCATTTGTAGGCTGCTTCTCTGCTGACCTGGACATGGGCAGAGAGGTCCCAAGTCACTAACCCAGGATCTGTCTTACGTGAGGTCGGCTGTGCCACCACAGTGCCACCACCTGGCCCCTTATTTTCATATGCAGTTATATGAACCTCACATATGAATAAAAATAGGTACAATTTAAATGAGTATTAACTACTACAAGATCTTTAAGGCATATCTATTTATGTATATATTTAATTGGATGAAATGCAGTTACCCAAAGGTTCCTGTTTAGAAGCCAGTGAACAAGACATTTAAGAGATTGACCCTGAGTGTGGTGGACTGAACTGCTTACCTGTTTGAAATCACATTATTGTAGAAACAGACCAGGTTCTCATTCACCAAGTCTTTGCTTTGCCGGATGAACCTCTGTTCATGTCCAAATGCTCTGATAGTGGACACCCCCGATAATGTCTCACTGAAGTGGGAAATGACGGGGGAACGGGATGCTCCTGCCAGCCTCCGAATCTGCCGTGAACTTGCCATGTAGTATCTCTGATCAGAAGACAGAAAGGTCATTATAATAGAGAAATGCAGCTGAAATTATTCAGTAGTTTGAAAAGTGCAAGACCCTTGTGTAGTGAGTAAAATGAAAGTTAGGTCCAAGTCCTAATCCCTAGTACCTGGGAATGTGACCTTATTTGGAAATAGGGTATTTGCAGATGCACTTCAGTTAAAGATCTCATAATGAGATCATTCTGAATTTAAAGCAGACTCCTAATCCAATCCTTCTAAGGGAGGCAAAGGAAATAAAGACACAGGGAGAATACCATGTGAAAACAGGGGCAGAGACAGGAATAATGTGGCCACAAGTCAAGGAAAATTCTGGCAATAGCTGACAGCCACCAGAAGCTATGAAAGAAATGAAACATATTCTTGCTCTTAATCTCCAGAAGGAAGTAACTCTCCCTACTTCTTGATTTTTGGACCTATGACATCCATAAATAAGAATAAATTTGTTTCTTCAAGTCACCCAGTATGGGTATTTTGCTCCCAAAGTAGCAAGCTAATATGCTCTTATAACAGTGAAAACAACCCATACTCTGACAGTCTAACTAGAATATAATTAGGCAAAAGTTCACGTTGGTGATGCTTTCAAATGACCATTATTGAGTACCTCCTATGTAAAAAAATTCTGTGTCACATGTTAAAAACATGAACTGACAATTAACCCACAAAATGAGGGAAGCAAACCGGTGCACAAACAATATTTTTATACCTAAACATTTTTCTCTTCGATCAAAACACCAGTGCAGTCACCATTACATTAGTCTCCCTTGTCTAAGGTTGAAGATGGTTTGGGATGGGTGGGGACTGTGAAGAGCTGGAGGGAACATGCCCTGAATTAACTGGTCTACCATTCGTCAGTCCAGGAAATTGTTACCAACTGAAAATGAAAATCAGGGGCTATCAGGTCTGACAAATTTTTCAGGAAAATCTTTGGATGTGGAATTTTATGTAAAACCTCTGCTTTTCAAATGACCTCATTTGATAACACTGAGCAAGCTAAACTAAAACATATCTCAAGCTACACACACCTGTTAGTTTGCAGCTCACAAGCTCTGCCCTATACTAAGTGTTCTGGAGAACGCAAAGGATTATAGCATTTTTAGGTACAAGCGGTTTAGATTGTCTAGTTCAGGTGTTACATTTTTTGGGGTCACATACCCTCTGAATAGCTGATGTACAAATAAAGTGGGAAGAGAAATAATGGCATAGCTAGGGCTAGCTAATGGCCAGGCCATTAAGGCGTCTGGATCCCAGTCCCAGACTCAGGTGCTTGAAAAATCACACTAGGTGGGGGCCAGTGGATGGCACAGTGGTTATGTTACTGGACTCCCACATGCCTGCGCATGGTTCAAATCCCGGACCCGATGACTTGAAAATCATGCAGGGCACATGTGTGGGCATGCCTAAGGTCGTGGGAAGAGAATGGTGGAGAAGGTGGGCCTTCCCCCAGAGGGTGATTTTTTACTTTCCCTCTTACTGTCTCTGTCTCTCTCGGGCAAGCACATGTGCCCTTATGACAAACACCTTAAAAAAAAAGAAAAAGAAAAAGAAAAAGAAATCATGCTGGGTTTGTGTGCTTGTCCAAAATCTTAAAAGGAGAAAATGGAGAAGGGATTATAGTATGGCTATCCACCGTGTGGGAGTGGGGGAGGGCTTTTTCATTTTCTCTTTCTTTCTCTCTGTGCCTCTGGTGAGTGTGTGTGCCTTGTAGCAAGGAAAAAAGTGTAGAAATGAAAAAAAATGATAAACATTCTGGCTTAGGCAGATTAAAGTCCAATAAGAATTTTAAAACTTAAGTTCCTGAAAAGCATGAAACCATAAAAATCTTTTTGTGAAAAGAGCCTCAGAATACTTCTATACTTAATTTACAATATGGTAAGACATTTTGTTTTCCACTCTAGCCTCACAATGACATAGTTTGCCTTCAATACGTTTGAGTAACCTTTTAATATACAGCTATCATTAAAATATCATGAGAGGCATATTGAACTTTTCCATCATATCTGGATAGCAGAGCAAAAAGGCAATATCTGTTTCTCTTTCAGACATGCAGGCCAATGAATTTTTTTGCTGAAATATAGGCAACATATAGCTTTTGTGGTAGCCATAAAAACGTAGGAGGTGGCTCTCCTGCTTCAGGGGGCATTGCTGACTGACAGCCCCAGCTGCTGCACCTCTGGATCTGCTACTGTATTTGCATGGAAGCTGCTTTTCCAGTAAATTGTTCTCAGCCAATCACTGAGCATGGCAGAGATCGATAAGCAGGCTCATTCCAAAGACACATGGAACCCTCCACTGGGGGGTTGAGGACTTTCCATTGGCTCAGATGAACCTGTTGTGGAACTGCTCTGCCATCCAATCCTCCTCCCATTTTTCTCTCTCAAAGGGTCAGATCAGTGTCGCTTGCTAAGGGCCCCCAGGCCAGTCTTTTCCTGTTCCTTATCCTTTGTCATTCATAGGCACTTCAACCCGTACATCTCTAGAACATCTAACTCTATCTTAGACTCTGCTTCTTAAAGAACCTGCCCTAACAGGAGGCATAAGTGGATCTGACTGTATTTGTCAGTGGATGTATCTGTTATTAATACAAATAAGAGTCGATGTACTTACTTGTATATTGAAGTAGAAGAAAACCAATGGAATAACCCCCAGAATGAAGAGTGGTAAAGCTCCCACAATGACCAAAATCGTTCCAATAACATCCAATGTACAATTCACCCAGGTCCGTAAATAGTAATGAAAGCGTGTATCAATTATAAACATGTCCTGAAAAAGTTGATATCATGTCACTTTAATTTTTCATAGTTTAGAATGAAAGATGGCAAGAAGAAATATATAATTCAATCTGTGGCAATCTGTAGTAAATCTAACTACTCCATCTTTGCCTATCCCAGCCCTCCCCCCCCAACAATTTCCCCCTTGTAGTTAATTGTAACAATTAAAGGCTAGTCTAGTAACAAGATGCCTATAATCAAGCATTTGATAGTTTCCATTGCCAAGCACACAGGAATTAATTACACAATCAAAGTTAGATCCTGATGAAATGAAATCCACAATCTAGTAGCCGGGCTTTTAAAATCCAGTCTCTCAGGCATTGGACTACCATTATTCACTATTCGAAACCTGTAAAACACTCCTGAGAACCTGATCAGTGGCTTTCATGGGGGGCTGGATCCTTCCCATATCAGAAATGGAAAGGGAAAAAAACTTCATTTACAAAATGAAGAAATGGAAGATGAAGGTGGC